CGAACTCAATATCCAAATTCTATCGAGAGAAAAAAAGCCGCGAAAAAAATCCGCAATAATTATGCATCAACCTAATAATGGGTATAGCCTATTCGCTACCTAAATCGAATGTTAGAATCCGACTGGAGGTCGGTTGGTCGGCACATTCCATACAGGTCGAGCCTGAATAGTTTATTCATTTTTACTCGGAATGGAATATGCTTTAAATGTTTGGTGAAACGCCAGGGTTGCCGAATTTCTGTGACTTTCAGATACATCTGTAGGCGTAAACAAAACATCGATTTTCTATCGTGTCCATCAGTGCGATCGGTTTTTGACCAAAGCCCATGAATGTGCACTGGCGACTGCGATCTTCAAAAAAGTCACAGCAGATTTGTAAACACACGCAAAGGAAGCACTGTGTCAGGGATAGCACTGTGGCCTGCAACCTTGCAGTTAGGGGTGAAAGGTCCTCAAAACCAGTGAATTCTACTTTTTTTCTGGAAATACAGCAGTCGAAGTGCGTGAGGACCAAACTAGCGCTTTAAAACCTTAAAGAGAAAGATGAACAAGATCGCATTCATTAATTTACACTAAAATAACCCATTACTCTTTACAAAACTTGCATCAAATTCACCATGAAGGTCCAGTTCACGGTCACGGCCCTTTGAAGTTGAAGAGCGGCAGTGCTAGTGGAGAATCGCTGACGTATGAAAAGAGGAAATTTGCAGAATCTGAGCAACTCTAGGACGAGATTACTATGACGGAAATGACATAGAAGTGATATTTAGAGAGACTGCAATCACTGAAATCGCTTGAAGAGCTGGCTACAGCAACTTAAAGAGTCCAACGTGTCCTCCACTACTATCGTCATGGGCCACGACTAGTTCAAGTTTCCCAAGTATATACTCCATTGTAAACGGCGCTGCCTGAAACACATGAAAACTCGTCCGCCTTCGGGTGCAGGCGTCGACGAAGCCTTTCTTGAGCTCCTACGGCGCCCTACCCAGGTCGTTCTCGACCTGACAGGGACCTGTATAGAGTACTTGGAGACCACATTTTGCCCTGTCTTGTTGGAAATCTTTGATATCTCCATTACCGTAGACTGCGGGAAATGCAGAACAGAAGACGGATTTTGACTTTCGAAATAGCTTATGTTGAACCATTTGTTTGCTCTTCTAAGAATAGAACAGAGCATCATCGGGTAGCGTACGAACATAGCGTTTTACAGAGCTTTTTTATAAGCTGCTCGGTGGCTAACGATGAGGACAACTTCCAAAGGCTGGTAGGACACACACAATGTTTTCAGCATAGATGAAAAACAACAACATAGGATACAGTCAGCCAATGGAAAACAGAAGCATGTGAAGAATCTCATGCAATGTGAAAAGCCACTTGACGAGACTGTTGGCGATTTGAAAAATCCTTTGAATGAAACGTCCAGGCCGACATACACTGTGCAGCCAACGATTGTCCACTCCCGTATTTCGGCTTCATTTTCGGCTATTTGACTTCGCACTTCACTCGATGCTCCGGAGAACAATGCGTGGACAGAGTCAACAAACGCTCCTCCAGCTCGACTCAGCACTGACCAACGCGGCGTTCGACGGCTCAAAGAATTGGTTCCCGCCCTGATGAATGTTGAAACGATGAGGGAATCATAGTGTAAACCACTGCCGATCACAGAAGCTTAAGAAACTTCTCGAGGCGAGTGGTGACATGAGTCAAAGCTGACTATGAAGAGCAAACCTACTGGACCCTCATTGATTCTACCTTCCAAAGGATCATGCACAGGCTGGGGAAAAAGGTTTTCGCCCCCAGTATACTTCATGATCAACCATCGACCCATTGACCACCTATTCCCACACGGTACGTATCCGTTCGTCCTTGTCACGAGCCAAAGAGGGTACTCCACAAGTCCCATATCGCATGGAGGACAGGGAACACCGAGCCTTTCGTGAAGAAACTACGATAGGGGTATTCCATTGCAACTGAGGCGCAATATCCAATCCAGGTTGCGCCATGCATTTCTCTTCTGTTCAGATAAACTACTCAAAAAAGCTGTTATTATCCAAGTGATCATCAAGGAATATAAACAACTTCGTTGACAAGGGCGCGTTTCTTTGTTTACTGTACTTTTTGCCTTTGGGTCTCGTTTGTTTATGGATGGTGAATTTAAACAAGTAGTAAACAACAGTAATGACAGTCAATAAACTTGCCATATGAGATATTGGGTACCTGTTATGATTAAGTTTTCAGACTCTGTAGGCTCCCCAAGTTAGCTGCATCGTTCGCCGTTGCCGAGTGTACATCATGTACATCAACAAGTTGCAGCAACGCCAAGACTTTCCAACCATTTTTCTTCTGAACTATAAACATTCAAAATGTACCGTCTGCAAAGCACTCAATAGCACTCAATATTATTGAAGACACAGCGCGCTGTCGGGTCAAAAATTGGCCTAGATAGAGCGCAAAAAGGACTCAAAGACCGGTTGGAAATGTAAATAACTTGTCGTGAGGTATTGCAACAATGGCAAGCGATCTTAGATGTTTTGGGTCAGATATAGCCAGCTCTTTACGCAATTGCAACTACTGAAAACTCGTCCAAATATCACTCTGATGCCAGTTTCGTCAAGGTAATCTCGTGCAACATTTATTTTACTACTTTCACGAAACCCTTTTTTCGCGAAGTTGGCGGATTTTGCGCTTTCTTCGCCATCGCTCCATTGTCCACCCACCACTTCCACTTTAAACATGAAATAGCATATCAAAATCATCTCGAAATGCATCCATATTGGTGTGCGCCGTGTACTTAGAATCTACCTGAATCAAACTGGCCATTGCAACTCAGTGGGTAGAGGGCGACAGGGGAAGAAAGCCCAATCATGGCCAAACACGGGGGAAGGGGGGGAGAAGAGGGGTGAGGGAGCAAGGTCAACAGAAAGTTCGTCCAGGCATGTGAGATAAGACCTTTTCCATTGCTAAACACAGACTAAATGAGCAGGTAGTTCACGTGGTTCAATTACATTCCTGATAATTAAGTATTACAGTATTCTCGACATGTTCCTTTGCCGATGATTTTTCACCGCTGTGAATCAAGTATTCACAGCGCCATATTTAAAGAGCTATCATCGATAAACAGGTGATTTCCTACCTTCTAATTATTTCTCGCGTTCATAGTTCATTCAAATCATAGCCGACTCTGCAAAGAATCCGTTCCACCGCATAGTCTCCTTCCCGGAATCCCGTTCTTATTCTGAATATGCTATACAAAGCTCATACTCCGAGTTCCAGGGGAAGATTTGAAATTATTCTCCAACTACAGGGAGGGCCAAAATTATGATTACACAGAAATCGCATCGCAGAAAACGAATAGAAAGCCAATAGAACGAACTAATTTCATTAAAGGGTTTATCACAAATTTCTTATTAAAATTGTACATTGAAACTGTGATCTGTTGCTTCCTGCTTTCACCCAACCCCAAAGACGACGATGGAC